AACAACGGGAAGCATGTTTCTTGCCAAGGCGTTTTTGGAAGGGGCAGATCGGGGCCTCGGGGAAGCCCTGGGAGGCCTTCTTGGAGGAGGAGGTCAGAGACGAGGAGGAGGAGGAGGAGGAGGAGGACGGGGCAATGTTGGCGGGATCGTTGGCGGACTGGTGAATCTCATCAGCGAGGCTGCAGCAGCTCATTACACCCCGGAGCCACCACCCACCCAGGAGCATTTCACCAACGTGGAGGCCCACGAGAGCGAGGAGGTCAGGCGGTTTCGGCAACAGTTTGCGCAGCTGGCGGGCCCGGACATGGAGGTGGGGGCCACCGACCTCATGCACATCCTCAACAAAGTCCTCTCCAAGCACAAGGACCTGAAGACCGAGGGCTTCAGCCTGGACACCTGCCGCAGCATCGTGTCTGTCATGGACAACGACACCAACGGGAAGCTGGGCTTCGAGGAGTTCAAGTACCTGTGGACCAACCTGAAGAAGTGGCAGTGCGTGTTCAGGCAGTTCGACCAGGCCCGCGCCGGGGCCCTGAGCAGCTCCCAGCTGCGGGCCGCGCTGCAGGCCGCCGGCTTCCAGCTCAACGATCAGCTGTACCACATGATCGTCCGGCGCTACGCCGACGACGAGGACGGCAGCATGGACTTCAACGGCTTCATCAGCTGCCTGGTCCGCCTGGATGCCATGTTCCGGGCCTTCAAGTCCCTGGATAGAGATGGGGACGGCCGGATCCAGGTGTCCATCCAGGAGTGGCTGCAGCTGACCATGTATTCCTGAGGTGGGCAGGCCCCCCCGCCCCCGGCCCCGGAGGACAGGACTGCCTGCCAATTGGGGCGGCGAGCGGCAGGCGGGGTGGCAGCTTGAGTGACGAGCAGCAGCAAGTGGTGGTGAGCTACTCGCGCGTGATTTCATGAGCCAGGCCTCTAGTATTAGAATAGCCATCAGTCAATACTAGGACCATACAGTTTACAATTCATTTCCTATCTAGTCTTTTTCTTTTTTTTTTTTTTACTTCATATTTGAGCTGTCAGTGGTCCCCACAGTAACCTATGAGATGGGCTGACACATGGCATTCAACCCCCTTCCCAGTCCAATTCTTACTCTACTGTCCTTTCCCATCCCATGTCTGTTTGGAGAATTCTGACTCAAGCGATGGGGATGCCTGTATATTCTCTTCTTCTGCAGGTAAATGCTGCCTTTCCTCAGCGGAATTCACTGCTCCCCTTTTGGGGTACCCATAATGGTTTCTCTCTCCATCTCCCTTCCCCCCTTTCTAAAATCAATAAAAGCAAATATTTTTTTAAAAAAAATTTAAAGGACAAGATATCAAAAAGTACATGTTGCCCGATTCCATGGATTTCAGGTGGAAAAAGGAATGTGTGGTGTTAGATGTCAGGTTAGTGGTTCCCCTTGAGAGAAGAGAGTATCTTAGGAAAGAGGCACGAAGAGGCTTTGGGGGTGCTGCTGATATTCTGTTCCTTGACATGGGGGTGTGCCGTCTGTGAAGTGTTGAGCTATACCTTAGTGATTTGTACATTTTTCTGTGTGTCACATTTCAAAAGAGATTCCAAATATATAGCTCATGATCTCTGGCTACAGAATCAGAATCTCTGCATTTTTTTAATTATTATTTTTATTATTTAAAAAAATATATATTGTTATTGATTTCAGAGAGGAAGGGAGAAGGAGAGTTGAGAGAAATGTCAATGATGAGAGAGAATCATTGATCAGATGCCTCCTGCATGCCCCCTACTGGGGACCGAGTCCATAACCTGGGCATGTGCCCTGAACAGGAATTGAACCCTGATCTCCTGGTTCATAGGTCGATGCTCAATCACTGAGCCACGCCAGCCAGGAGGAATCTCTGCATTTTAAAAAGCCCCCTTCCACATTTTTCTTAAGAACACTGGATTTTGGAAATCTTTGCCAAAGGAAGGGGATCAGGTACATAATTCTCCCGTTCTACCCTGCACGTAAATATCCCTTAGAAAAGAGCGGCTCGCTTTCCTTGAGTCACTGACCTTCCGTCAGGAAAGCGCGTGCTGAGAGAGCACCGAGATCGCTGGCACACAGGTCATTTACAGACGTTATTGCTTCGAATGTGCCCCACGCACAAGCACTTATGAGTATTTCTTAGACACACTAGAGGCCAGATGCACAAAATTCATGCAAGAGTGGGCCTTCCTTCCCCCGGCTGCCGGCACCAGCTTCCCTCTGGCACCCGGGACCCGGGCTTCCCTAGCAGCCCCGGCCTTGTCTGGAAGGACGTCCAGTCTAATTAGCATATTATGCTTTTATTATTATAGATGAGGAATATTTATCAGAAGAGCTCCCTAAAAATGGCAGGTGCTAGGACCTAGTGGAATTCAGGCAACTTCAGTGGGAGGTGAGCCATGGCATGTGGGCCGCATGTGGGCCGCGGGGCGTGGTGCAGCGGAGGCAGGGACAGAAAAGCCAGTTCTTCTGCCCGGGAGCTCGGCGGGCTCCATTTCGGCTCTCTTCATCCCTCTCGTTCAACGGGAAGCATGTTTCTTGCCAAGGCGTTTTTGGAAGGGGCAGATCGGGGCCTCGGGGAAGCCCTGGGAGGCCTTCTTGGAGGAGGAGGAGGAGGAGGAGGAGGA